AAGATAAGGGCAAATATAATATAACAAATATAGTCGAAGACTTCTACAAAACCTTGTACAGCTCGCAAAGGCAGTCTAATGAATCAACAAAAGAAAACGTCAAAAAAAAAAAATAAAAAACGGGGGATCGGAGCTACTACCGAATATAGAGAGATTCGAAATAAAAGAGAGATTCGAAGAGCTTTAAAAGAACTAAACAATAATAAAGTTCCAGGACATGACGGTATAATTAATGAGCTCTTAAAAACAAGCGAGACAGTAACAATCCCTATACTAACACAGCTAGGTCTCCATAATAGCCTAATCCCCAAAGACTGGAACGAGAGTCTGGTATTATTCTTATACAAAAAAGGAGACAAATGTGACCTGAAGAATTATAGACCTATAATAGAATAGATTTGAGATATCGGCGACTAATACATAATATATATGAATACGCAACTATGATAGTACAACTAGATGAAAATATAACTCCCATCCCCATTAAGAAAAGAGTTAGATAAGGTGACGTAATATTTCCAAAGCTTTTTAATCTAGCCCTAAAAGACGTCTTCAAAACTACAAATTGGTCAACGTATGGCATCAATGTTAATGGCAACAAGTTAAACTACCTCAGATTCTCTGACAACATCATGATTATAACGAGCACATTCAAGGAATTACAAATTATGATAAAGGAACTAGCAGACAAATCCCAATACCTCGGCCTTAAAGTGAATATGACAAAAACAAAAAAATGACCAACACAGACGATCCCAGACGTATAACCATAAATGGCAGTGAGATCCAAGCAGGCAGTGAGAACAAGTCTAGAAATATATTTACCTAGGCCAAATTCTGAAACTTAAAAAGAAAACCAAAGTGCGGAAATCACTAGAAGAGCAAGATTGGCATGGGCAGGATTTAGAAAACTCAGTTGCACATTGAAGAATTACAAAATACCTACTCGAAGAGCAAAGTGTTTGAACAATGCATTCTTCCTATCATGATATATGGATATTGTTCTGAAGCTATTTTCTTGTGGCATTGTAAATTAATTACTATTTATAACTGGGAATAAGCCACAATTAAAGATAAAAATACGTTTATTGACGTTTCAATTTCCAATTCGGAAATCGTTCTCAAAATACAAACAGTAAATTAAACAAATTTTGTTTTTTGTTACATAGTGAAAAAATTCTTCTAATAATTTAATTTTATCTGACTCATTTATATTGACAATTCAGACATACATTATGCATTTTAAAGTAGACGACTTTAAAATGATATTGCCAATATTGTTGAGTTGCGCTCCTGGGACGACTTTACTTATAAGATAGTTCATTCGATTACATGAAATCAACTTTAACTTGAGAATATCCGTCAGAAAAAATCATAGCATGTAATTCGTCTTTAAAAAGACAAACACATGACATGATGACAGTAAAATTCTCCTGTTAGTGATTCCATAGTAAATTATGAGGGAAAAACCAGGAAAAAAACCTCATAATACTATCCCGACATTGTAAGTATTTGTATGTGAATTTAGTTTACCTTCAACAAACATCAAAATTCTGATTTTATATGTTACGTTATTTAAAAAACATAAATGATGTATCCTCTATATGTTACTGACTTACTAATACTGGTATTTTCTTATTAATAACTTCCTCTTTCAATATTGGTAACCAGATCCTACTACATTCTGCCGAGGAATTTGCGACACAATTGGCCTCATTTAGCATAATTAGAGCCGCTTCTTTGATTTTTTTTTTTTTTTTTACCATCCGTTTCTTTTAGGACTATATTTGAATTATTCCATTGAACCCTATGTTCATTATCCCATGCGTGTTTACATATTTGAGATCTATCAAATTCTTTATTTTTAATATAAGATTGATGTTCACTTATTCTAACATTTAATGGCCTTGATGATTCACCTAAATAAAACTGATCGCATTCACAAGGTATTTTATAAATGCAATTCTTTGTCCTTTCTTGTTCATTGTTAGGTTTGGTTTTGGACAAAATAGATCTCAACGTGTTTGTTGTTTTGAATGTTGTTGAAATGTTGAATTTATTTCCTATCCTTTTAAGTTTTTCTGATAATCCTTTTATGTACGGTATTGTTATTTTCCTCATATTATTCCTTGTGTATGCTGTAGGATCTCGTTCTAAGTTGTTCTGTTCTATTCGATCGATTGTTGAAAATTCCTTATTTATAAACGATAAAGGATAATCATTTTTTAATAAAACAGATGTTAACAAATGTTTCTCCTCCAAGAACGAATTTTCGTTAGAGCAAGTAATTTTGGCTCTATCGTATAAGGATTTAATTATTCCCTTTTTTACATTAATATTATGATTTGATTTGAAATTTAAATATCTATTGGTGTGTGTTGGTTTTCTATACACCTGAGTCTCATATCCAGTATCGTTCTTAGAGATTAAAACATCCAGGAAAGGTAGCGTGTTATTATATTCCTTTTCCATGGTAAATGTTATTGTCTCTTCTTTATCGTTTATATCATTTAGGAATGTGTCCAACAACTCTGATCCATGAGGCCATATTGAGAATACATCATCTACATACCTCCACCATACTGTGGGTTTGAAATTTTGTTTAGAAATGATATTTGTTTCAAAATCTTCCATAAATATATCGGCTAAGAATGGAGATAAACTAGAGCCCATTGCTAGACCAAAATTTTGTTTATAGAATTCATTATTTAGTTGAAAATATGTATTATCAGTACATAATGTTAATAACTCCATTATAGCCGATATGTTTAGTCTTGTTCTAGTTGCCAATGAATCATCACTCTCTAATTTTCTCTTGACTATACTTAAAGTCTTATTTAATGGCACATTCGTAAATAAACTATTTATGTCAAAACTTACCAAAGTATTATTTGAATTAAATTCAATATTTGATAATTTATTTAAAAAATGTTGTGTATTTTTTATGAATGTGTCATTTTTATTTGTATAAGGTTTTAAAATATTTAATAAAAATTTTGATAGTTCACTACAAGGAGAATTCATGGTACTACAAATGGGTCTAAGTGGTATATTCGTTTTATGAATTTTCGGTACTCCATAAAAATGAGGAGTCTTACTGTAATGAGGTGTAATTAAACCTCTCTGATAACTTGTTAAAACATCTTTAAACTTGAATAAAGTTCTATATATTTTGTTTTCCAAAGGCTTTGTTGGATCTTTTGTTAATTTTGTATAAGGTATAGATAGAATAGAACAGAACAACTTAGAACGAGATCCTACAGCATACACAAGGAATAATATGAGGAAAATAACAATACCGTACATAAAAGGATTATCAGAAAAACTTAAAAGGATAGGAAATAAATTCAACATTTCAACAACATTCAAAACAACAAACACGTTGAGATCTATTTTGTCCAAAACCAAACCTAACATTGAACAAGAAAGGACAAAGAATTGCATTTATAAAATACCTTGTGAATGCGATCAGTTTTATTTAGGTGAATCATCAAGGCCATTAAATGTTAGAATAAGTGAACATCAATCTTATATTAAAAATAAAGAATTTGATAGATCTCAAATATGTAAACACGCATGGGATAATGAACATAGGGTTCAATGGAATAATTCAAATATAGTCCTAAAAGAAACGGATGGTAAAAAAAGAAAAATCAAAGAAGCGGCTCTAATTATGCTAAATGAGGCCAATTGTGTCGCAAATTCCTCGGCAGAATGTAGTAGGATCTGGTTACCAATATTGAAAGAGGAAGTTATTAATAAGAAAATACCAGTATTAGTAAGTCAGTAACATATAGAGGATACATCATTTATGTTTTTTAAATAACGTAACATATAAAATCAGAATTTTGATGTTTGTTGAAGGTAAACTAAATTCACATACAAATACTTACAATGTCGGGATAGTATTATGAGGTTTTTTTTCCTGGTTTTTCCCGCATAATTTACTATGGAATCACTAACAGGAGAATTTTACTGTCATCATGTCATGTGTTTGTCTTTTTAAAGACGAATTACATGCTATGATTTTTTCTGACGGATATTCTCAAGTTAAAGTTGATTTCATGTAATCGAATGAACTATCTTATAAGTAAAGTCGTCCCAGGAGCGCAACTCAACAATATTGGCAATATCATTTTAAAGTCGTCTACTTTAAAATGCATAATGTATGTCTGAATTGTCAATATAAATGAGTCAGATAAAATTAAATTATTAGAAGAATTTTTTCACTATGTAACAAAAAACAAAATTTGTTTAATTTACTGTTTGTATTTTGAGAACGATTTCCGAATTGGAAATTGAAACGTCAATAAACGTATTTTTATCTTTAATTGTGGCTTATTCCCAGTTATAAATAGTAATTAATATGATATATGGATGTCAAACCTAGACCCTAACCAAGGCAAAAAACGTAAAAATATTATCTTGAACTTATATTCAGAAACGGAAGATATAATTAGCATCAAGGATCGGAAAAGACTAGAACTCCAAACCCTTATAAGAAAAGCACAGGATAGGCATATATAAAGATCACGATGAAATCATTAAATTAGAAAGGCCTAGATCAAATATAATCGAGGAGAGAATGCGAGGAGAGAGAAAGTAACGAAAAGAATAAAATACAAGCCGAAGGGTACAAATAAAATGTGTGTCCATATAGAGTAGTATGTGGAAATTACACATAAAACTTAAAAAGACATAAAACTGAAACAAATGTGTAAAAATAGATAGATAGCAGTAAAAACAGAATTCAATTATTACTTTCTGTATCTCTAGAAATAATGGTTGTCAGTCCAATATAAACAATTTTTATATTATTAATTTATTTATGTTTTATCACCGGAATAATTTTGCACACTTTTAGTATGTGAGTCACGTATCGAATCACATTTATTTGTATGAAGCATACAAGTTGAATGTATTGTATTTCATAAAAAATAATGCAGATTGATTGTTGATAATATCTACACCTACACTAATTAAAATATATTTTTACTTACTTAACTGTAATAAAACTGAAACAACAAAAAGTTTAATTTCGAGACACCTAAATTTTACCACCATTTTTTCAATAAAATTCAAATCAGAACCGTTATTTTTATACTACACGAGCTACAGTCCTGTAACGATCTTTCGGTGATATTCACTACGCGAGTGATTCTTTTATGACAATTCGATAGTTGATAGCTCTACCGTTTGTTATGTCGAGGTATCACATGTAACTTCGATGACCATGGGCGTCCGTTTGAAAAACTATATTATGACTAAGGCGAGATCAGATGACTAAATGATTTCTCGCCGACTTTCCTCAAAGGTGTAACGTAAGGTCAATTGGAACGATTCGTAAGGTTTGAATCAACACAGAAATTTGTGCCTGGCCGAAAAATTTTAGTAATGACTGAATACAACATTCATCTATAATCGTTTAGATACTTCAACATTACATGACAAAAGCTCCGTTAAACTAATCATATACGCTACTCAAATTTCCTTGTAGCCGTTTGATTCAATTTTTCCATCACTTTACATAGGGGAAGGAGGGGAGCTTTAGACCACAAAATGGTTTTCTGTATATAAAAATTTGTTAAATGCATATTTTAAAAATGCATTTAAATGCATTCAAATAATTAATCTGAAATTAAAGAATAAATAAAACCATTTAACAGCAAAAAATATATTTTTTTAAACTTTACAAATGGTCGAATGCTCCCCACCCCTAGGGAGCATTCAACCAGCTGGAGGGGAGCATTCGACTATGTTAAAAAATGATATTTAAAGGAACAAACAAAGAAAAAGTTTTGAAAAAGTACTTTCTTTTAGAAAAAATATTAAGAGTAAAACGCAATGTAGTGAAAAAAATCATTAATGACCTACCTAAACAAAATCAGTTAACAATTAAGGTGATAAAATTGTAACTAAACTTAAAATATGAATCTGTTCTTGTTCTTCCAGTTTTTGTTAGAGTTTTCAATTTGCTGATAATGTCTCCATTGTCTACTTCGCTTATAATTACAAACTTCGCTTAACAAACTGAATAATATTTACTGTGTGAGTAGTGTTTTTCCCCAAATTAGAAGATATACTTAAAAACAAAGGACAATACATATGTATATCTTCTAATTTGGAGAAAAGCACTACTCACACAGTAAATATTATTCAGTTTTTTGTCTCGCGAAAAGTGCATTTTGTAACATATGACATTTTGCATTAACGGCAATGTTATGTCTTCAATTTGTGGCAAATAAAAAGTAGTTGAGTGACCCTTCCTTCTCAAAAATTTAATTTTTGTTGCCTCTTCTGAAATTTCCAAAATTTGCCCCAAAAAATTAATCAGTTTGGATTTAGTCATGAATCTTACTAAAACAAAATCTTCTTTTTTAAGATCTTGTTAATCAACTTCCTCAATCATCAAATTTGTCACTCAAATCTTCACCTGAATCGTCATGAAGAGATAACGCACCATTTTCGGTTGATGATGAATCAGAACAGTTTTTCATCTTTACTTTCTTCTTAGGGAGTTTGTTTTCTTCTGCCTGCATGTTATTCTTAAATACATTTCTCTTAACACCTCTTTTTTACTTTCTTTTTCTTCTGCAATATTTTCCAATCTTTCTTTTTTAGGAGTGTCAGTATAAATTCTTGAAATTCCTGGCGTTCGCTTAGTTTTATTTTCTTTTCTTATGGCTTTTGGAAATGGTCTAATTGACTCTGGTGTGATTTTTACCTGATTCTTATGGTTACTGTAGGATGGTGTTGGCATAGTTCTTATATCATGTGTAATATTAATCGTGTTCTTTAGTTTTTTTGATTCAAATGCAAGATCTTCGTGATCTTCTATTTTGTCATTTTCGATCTTATCTCTTTCAACACGATCTTCTGTTTCTGTATGAATGACTTCATGTTCTATTTTATTATATTCGAGATTCACCTTACCTTCCACCATATTGTTTTAATTGTGTGGATTTACTGCGGGATAGAAAGGTTTGTCTGTTACATAACTAAGGGCAAAATCGTCATCGCTAAAAGCTAGTCTTTTAAATGGCCAAATCCCAGGCTTTTTAAAACTACTCACAATATTTTCATTTGTACAAGCTCTTGCATATGCTCGGTATGTCAATTCTGGTATATTTTTTATTGTTATGATTTTTACTGGACTACAAAAATTTTTAAAAGGCCAATCGACCCCAATATCTAGGGGTTGCATTCTGTGAGTCGTATGGGGTGCAAAACTTAATAGAATAGTCGCACTCTCTTTGCAAAATTTTACGCTTTGAAGACTAACATGGGACTCATGATTATCCACCAGCAATAATAGGTTCCTCAAGGGAGCAGCGAGTATATGTTGTAGTACCGAGAAAAATAACTCTCCAGTCATCCAACCGGATTTGTTTCCCAATGACAAACTTGACACTGGCGCGTTAACTATAAGGTCTTTCACATTTCTAATGCTTGGGAATACATAAACTGGAGGCAGGCTTTGTCCAGAAGCACTTACAATTTCCACAAATGTCACCAATTCATCCCTTTCAGCTGCATTAGCTTGAGATACTTGTTTTTTGCCTTTGAGGGAGACAATTTTTACTTGCTTCATGGCAGTGGTAACTCCGGTCTCATCAAGATTATAAATTCTTTCTGGACGAAATTTGTAGCGCTTCAACGCTTTTTAAAGATTTGCAAAAAATTGTTCAACCTTATGTTTATTACAAGCGATGCTTCTGCTTAGACTGATGCTCTTTGGTTTCCTTAAGGAAAGCGTTGGGTGGCGTTTCATAAATCCTCGTCGCCATCCATCCTTTGCCTTTTTTCCTGGTGCCACTCTTGCGGAATTTTGCAACTAGGCAATTCGGAGGCGTAATCATAAACTAATTTTTGGATGTGAGTATAAGTTAGTCTATAGTTAAGGTCAGAGCATCTCTTGATTATGATTCAAATTCAGCTTCGTGCTCCACCGTAAATACCTGCCTATTTGTATATTTATTTGAAAATTCTGGTGAATTTCTGTCAGCGTCACTTTCATTCCCAGAGTCATTCGAATTTTGCATATTCTGCCGCAAATACTCTTCTTTAGTTTTCTTCCGTAACATCTTTTTTACCCTACTTTTAAATGACCTCTTTATGTCATTAATTCGGACAGCCTCCCTTTCTGAAGAAGATCCGGTAAAACAGTTTATAATTGCTTGTTAATAACATTTTTGGTTTTTAGTACTCGTTTTCGAGGCATATTTAAAAAAATACAGCAAGTAATAATATGGATTTTTTTTTAAATTTATTACACAATAAACAGTGATTTAATCAAAAAGACCATATATGAATAAAATTCCAAAAAGTCCGTTTTATTTGCTAATTTAGTTCGCGCGTTAAAGTTAATTTAATTATTCTTTGCCCAAATTTATTAGTCCTTGTCTCATTCTCCTTCACTCTTTGTTTACCTTCCACATAAATAAAAAACATAATACCAAAGGAGATAACATTTTAAAAAGGCTGGGGAGCATTCGACCAGTGGTCGAATGATCCCCAGGGTACAGATATAGATTAATTAGTTCCACAAAAAATATTTAAGTTTTTAAGTTAGAATTGTATTTGTCAATCAAAACTACAATACACTTCATCTAGTTTATATAACGATGCACGTCATCGGCGTCATAGCCTGTGACGTCATATGATACCAACACGAAATATTTAGGGTTTAGGTGTGTTCTTTTTAGAATCACTTTACCGAGTACACTGGCATTACAGCCACTAGGCATATTGTATTATATACGCTTAGAAATAATATTTAAAAATTTCTATTAATGTTAACTTAAAGAAATACACAATAATATGATTCATTTAATTTGTATAAATCCATTATAAAGAGTTTTTATCAAGAACATTTGTTCGGAACACACTGTAACTGTAATCGAACGAAGGTAAAATTTTGGCATAAATTGGTAACACTTATTTGACAGTTGCGGTGTTGACACTTTTGGTACTTTATTATTTTGAATTTTAAAGTGAATACCTCTTGTTTTATATTTTTACCTATTTAATAAAATCTGTTCTTTTTAGAACAAAATTAGTGTGTTTTATTTCAAAAATTTCACGTAAGAATTTAAATAGTCGTTGTAAAGAGATGGTAATACTTTTGCAATAATTATGTGACCTATTTGATTTAAAATGGAGTCAGGATCTTTTTTATACTTTGGCAACTATGTCAACTTCGATCTCTGACGTAGACAATGACGTAAGTCGTTATCTAAATTAGATGAAGTATATCTAAAGATTCCTTGTACAAAATAATGAAATCCAAAAACCAGGTTTTTGAAGCAAATGTTACTTAATGTTTGAGGCAAAAAATTCTTACCAAAAGGTGCGTGTTTCAACTTTACTCCTTAAAAAATCAGAAACGTTGGATGCACATGTGTAAGTATTATCAAACGATACGCAACTAACCACATAACCTTAAATCACTTGATTTCTGCGGGAAATTTAAACCTCTTCGAAAATAAATGTGATGGTTGAATGCTCCCCTGGTCGAATGGTCCCCTCATTCCCTTACTACAGTCAAAAAGATTATTAATGTATATTGAAAACAACATAATTTTCTAAAAAATTGTAAGGTTTATTAGCGCGACAAATATAATTTTTAATCAATAATTAATATGATATATTATTATAATAAAATAACCAAGAATAATAATAAAAAGAATATTGAATTGAATAAATGTTCATATGCTGATATCGTCACATGTATAGAATATTTTTTAAAAATGGATCAGTCACATTTCTTTGATTACACTATAATTTTATTATATTACTTACAATTATTGTAAGTGTTGCTTTCCGATATTCCGATTTTTTATTGGGAATATCCCGCAACAACCATAGAAGGTTATTAGCGGTGGTGGTACAATATAGACTATAATATAATATTAATTAATATAAAATATAAACTATAAAGTTTTAACAAAGTTGATTATAATTTAGAATTTTGCTTGAAGTATCACTTATATTTGAGTATACAGTTTCGTTTTCTTTAAAAACATAATGATTTTGTCACAATCCGCACAATCACTTGGTAGTCCAGCAGCTTGTCTTTTCATTTGATATAATGGACAGTCTATAATAACGTGGCCTACAGTTATACTGGTGTCACAGACGTAGCATATTCTAGGAG